TATTTTAATGTATGATTTTAAGTGGGAAATACGTAGTTAAAACGTTGTCTTGGAAACGTTGCAGAATTGTATTGCTGGAAACGTTACAGCAACGTTCCAAATCCCACGTTTAGATACATAAAATTATTTCTAAGTCCCGACGAAAATTTTTCAATGAGGATTTTTTTTTTAATTTTTATACTTTATTATACATTATTTATAAAAGTAAAATAAAACTCTTCAATTCATTTTCAAAGTCATAATATCAAAAATATGAGCGAAATACACAAAACCCACTTTCAAACAACGTTGCAGAATTGTATTGCTGGAAACGTTGCAACAACGTTCCAAAACCCACGTTTGGCTACATAAAATTTTTTCAAAGTCCCGACGAAAATTTTTTTACTGAGGATTTTTTTTTCAATTTTTTTTTATTATACATTACTTATAAAAGTAAAATAAAACCCTTCAACACATTTTCAAAGTCATAATATCAAAAATATGAGCGAAATACACAAAACCCACTTTCAAACAACGTTGCAGAATTGTATTGCTGGAAACGTTGCAACAACGTTCCAAAACCCACGTTTGGCTACATAAAATTTTTTCAAAGTCCCGACGAAAATTTTTTTACTGGGGATTTTTTTTTCAATTTTTTTTTATTATACATTACTTATAAAAGTAAAATAAAACCCTTCAACACATTTTCAAAGTCATAATATCAAAAATATGAGCGAAATACACAAAACCCACTTTCAAACAACGTTGCAGAATTGTATTGCTGGAAACGTTTCAACAACGTTCCAAAACCCACGTTTGGCTACATAAAATTTTTTCAAAGTCCCGACGAAAATTTTTTTACTGGGGATTTTTTTTTCAATTTTTTTTTATTATACATTACTTATAAAAGTAAAATAAAACCCTTCAACACATTTTCAAAGTCATAATATCAAAAATATGAGCGAAATACACAAAACCCACTTTCAAACAACGTTGCAGAATTGTATTGCTGGAAACGTTTCAACAACGTTCCAAAACCCACGTTTGGCTACATAAAATTTTTTCAAAGTCCCGACGAAAATTTTTTTACTGGGGATTTTTTTTTCAATTTTTTTTTATTATACATTACTTATAAAAGTAAAATAAAACCCTTCAACACATTTTCAAAGTCATAATATCAAAAATATGAGCGAAATACACAAAACCCACTTTCAAACAACGTTGCAGAATTGTATTGCTGGAAACGTTGCAACAACGTTCCAAAACCCACGTTTGGCTACATAAAATTTTTTCAAAGTCCCGACGAAAATTTTTTTACTGGGGATTTTTTTTTCAATTTTTTTTTATTATACATTACTTATAAAAGTAAAATAAAACCCTTCAACACATTTTCAAAGTCATAATATCAAAAATATGAGCGAAATACACAAAACCCACTTTCAAACAACGTTGCAGAATTGTATTGCTGGAAACGTTGCAACAACGTTCCAAAACCCACGTTTGGCTACATAAAATTTTTTCAAAGTCCCGACGAAAATTTTTTTACTGAGGATTTTTTTTTCAATTTTTTTTATTATACTATACTTATAAAAGTAAAATAAAACCCTTCAACACATTTTCAAAGTCATAATATCAAAAATATGAGCGAAATACACAAAACCCACTTTCAAACAACGTTGCAGAATTGTATTGCTGGAAACGTTGCAACAACGTTCCAAAACCCACGTTTGGCTACATAAAATTTTTTCAAAGTCCCGACGAAAATTTTTTTACTGGGGATTTTTTTTTCAATTTTTTTTTATTATACATTACTTATAAAAGTAAAATAAAACCCTTCAACACATTTTCAAAGTCATAATATCAAAAATATGAGCGAAATACACAAAACCCACTTTCAAACTACGTTGTAAAATTGTATGCTAGAAACGTTGCAGCAACGTTCCAAAACACACATTTAGCAACATAAAATTATTTTAAGTCCCGTCGAGAAAATTTTTAATGTGGATTTTTTTAAAATTTTTAGTCTTTGTAACATTAGTTATAAAAGTAAAATCAAATTTAACTATGCAATATAATTTTTAAAGTCATAGTTTTAAAAATAAGGCCGAAATACACAAAACCTACTTTTAGATACCTAAAATTATTATAGTTTCAATAAAGGTTTACTATCGTAGTTAGCCTAACTAAGTTAGGTGATGGAACAACAGAGGTTACACCATAGTATTATCACAAAATTCTGTGGTATTATTTCTATGGGTTACACGGAACAAACGAAGAAAAATTCAAATTTACCGCTCTATCACGAAGTGTTTATTTCTTTATTTTAGGTTAAGTGTTGACATCGTGCGAAATTTTGTGCAAATTCTTCCGTGTTTTTTGGAAAAATAATTAAAAGATAAGGTAATTTTTATCTGATAGGGATGGCAAATAACTTTTAGTAACCTAAACAATCACCACAAACAATTTGTTAGTGTTTTTTTTAAACAGTTGCTTTTTGCATGGATTTTTAGGGTTATTTGGACGATGCCTTATGTAAAATAAGTTTTGTTCTGTGACGATGCCTTAAAAGCATAAACATGTTCCTGGAACAGTGTATCAAAGAAATTATCACCCAGAAAATATTGAATTGGCCGTGGCAGAGGTGATAAACAATCGTCTATCCTTTGGGTAGATTGCAAGTGTAATGATTACATCTGCCACAGATGATCTGCGGATAATGGATAATCTTTTGCAAGACAAGAGACAAAAGAGTGCAGTCATATCTAAACCACAAAGCAGTGATAATTAGTTGTTTTAAAGAAAACCTTCCTGGCAATGACTGGCTAAATTCTTTCCGGAGGCAAAAATTGTGATTACTCAAAGGAATGCTAAAAATCTAAAAAGATCCAGATCAGAAGTTCATGATGATGTGATAAACCAATATTTTTTCAGAAGTAAAGGAAATAAGGGATGCTTTGCCAGCACCTGGTTACCCAGGGAAACAACAAAATGTTGTGAAAAAAGGAAACTCAGAATATTAAACTATTTTTCAACTTTTCTAATGTTTGCTGACACTGGAGATCATTTAACATTGTGTGTTGGTTACCAGCCAAATCTATTAGATTTTTTTTAACAATCAAAGGTTCTTAATAATTTTTATATTAATAAATTATATCCATATGTAAATCAATTTTAGGTCACAATCTTTTGCATTTAATAAATAAATTTGTATACTATACAAAATCAATTTTAAAACTTTCAAGTGTATACAAAAATATAGGCAAAAATACTATTTTTGCTTGTATTTTTTCCTTTTAATGCTTGTGCTCTAAATTTTTATTCAACATAATAATAATACCTATATGAATATAGGCAATAGTTTTTCTTTTCAAAATACCATTGAAAATTTTTTGTCCAAGCTATTTTGTTATATTTTTATTTGTTTACTTTAAGTATATAATATTATATTAATAATATTTTTTAGATTTTGTTAATTGGGAATTTTTAATTAATTTTAATATTGATTTAAAAGTTGTAGTATCTTGTATAGAAAATTGTTATATATATAGGCAATATTTTTTCTTTTTAAAATACCATTGTAAATTTTTTGTTAAAGCTATTTTGTTATAATTTAATTTGTTTACTTTAAGTATAATATTATTAGATAATATTTTTTAGATTTTGTTAATTGGGAATTTTTTTTCCAAAGTATTTTTTTTGTACAATAAATTTTTGTTGTTTTTAAATATATATTAAATTTTCCAATAATAAAGAAAAATCCTACCCAAATTTATAAAAAAATCCAACGTTTTATGATACAATAATCCCACGTATTTCCAACGTTTTATAATACACAAAACCCACATATTTCCCACGTTGTATAATACACAAATCCCACGAATTTGCAACGTTTTATAATACATAAAAGCAACGTTGTATAATACACAAAACCCACGTATTTGCAACGTTTTATAATACGTAAATCCCACGTTTTTTATAACATTAAAAACTAACGTTGTCAGATAACGTTATAAACCGGGACATTTCAACATAAAATTATACATAAAAGTTAGGTTTTGCCAACGTGGGAAAAACGTTGTTTCTACGTAAAATTTCTACTAGGGATACCACTTGTTATGGGTGACAATAGATGTCCAAAGCATCAAATTCTTATTTTTGAATGTTTAGTGCACAAATGTCGATGATTGGGACAGTGTCGATAATTGGGACGTTTACCTTATGTTTGATTATAAGTTCTCCGCAAAGTAAATGTTTTGGGAACCCCTGAATTATACAGTATAATCCACAATCCACAATGGATTGTGCTATACCTACCTTATCATTATAGAAAACCGGTTGTCCTTACATTGTGCCTAGGTACATTTTACCTATAAATCACTATAATAGAGGTAACTAATTACCGTTTATTATAAATAATAAACTGTTTTAAGAATAACAATCGAATTATAAATACATACTTATAAGTATAAGGTATACCTATTCATACTTAACTACAATAATAATAATAATAATAATAATAATAATTATTAACTACAATAATAATAATTATTACGATTATAGTAGGTACATTTTACCTATAAATCACTATAATAGAGGTAACTAATTACCGTTTATTATAAATAATAAACTGTTTTAAGAATAACAATCGAATTATAAATACATACTTACCTATTCATACTTAACTACTATAATAATAATTATTACGATTATAGTAGGTATATAATACCTACCTAATCGAATAAATAAATTTAATTTATTATTATAAATAATAAACTGTTTTAAGAATAACAATCGAATTATAAATACATACTTACCTATTCATACTTAACTACAATAATAATAATTATTACGATTATAGTAGGTATATATACCTACCTAATCGAATAAATAAATTTAATTTATTTCTTTAGATTCACTTAAATTAAGCACACATAACATAACTTAAGCGCTTCATACACTTAACAGTAACAATCTCTGGTAACAAACCCAGACCCTCTTTGGTAACAAATCAACAAAATGGGTAGGTATTTCCGGTAAAATAACCACATTCGTAAAGTTCATTTTGTTTGTGACGTGGTTCCGAAGTTCCTTCCAAGAAGAAATGGCAAAAAATCTTACATTTAAATTAAAAAGTGGCGATCTGATGCCATTAGTTGGATGTAGGTGTACTTTATAAACAGTGATATTACTTACATGCGTTGGCTGCAGAATATTACTACTTCTAAATTCGATATTAACCTCACTTTTTGTTCTAGTTGGAACATACCAGATTCATGGTGAAGAATTAATAAGGGATGTTCTTGATAAAGCATTAGGTGCTGGTTATAGGTTAATTGGTATGTTAACAAGTAGAAAATCATTGATTTATATTTAATATTAAATGTTGTTTAATGTTTTTTTAGATACTGCCAAAGTGTACCATAATGAAAATGAAATTGGTAAAGCTTTAAAAGAACTATTGCCCAAATATAATCTTACAAGAAAAGACATATTTATCACCTCTAAACTTTGTAAGTATAAACTTATACCTAAACAAATAAATAACCTACAGTTTTTAAAGTTTTGTAAAATGGCCTTTTATACAGATAACCTATTATGGTGGTTATAAGTAGGTACTTTAATTTAAAGATATAAATAATAAAGATACAGGGTGTTTATTAGAGGGTTTTTAATAGAAGTTCAATAGAGCCATGTTCAAATTATAGGAAGTATTTTTTTTTAATATAAACACATTTTTACCTATTCTCTGAAAAAGTAAAAAATTAGGTTGGTATGTTACCCTTTAATACATTTTTTTTCTTTCAGCTCCTCAGGACCAAGGTGATAAAGCCTACGAAGCCCTTCAACATTCTGTTCACAACCTAGATTGTGAATACCTCGATCTTTTTTTAATCCATTGGCCTGGAGCTTTTGGAACAAACAGTGCCAGTAACAACAATTCCAAATTAAGAGACAGAAGTTGGGAGTTATTAGTTCAAGGAGTTAAAGATGGCCTAACAAAAAATATTGGAGTTTCAAACTATAATGTAAAGCATATGAGGGCTATTTTGCAAAAAAATCATGGTATTATTCCTGCTGTAAACCAGGTAAAGTTCTTTTTTTAAGCGTATAATAGTTTCCATATTATAAGTGTTGCCAATAGTGTTGTTAGTGGATTTTCAATCATTTTACCCCAAATTACTCTTAATACAAACACAAATACCCTAAAATGCGCCCTAGTTTCCAAATCATTTAAATCAATTTCTTTTATATAAATTTATACTAGGTAGCCATGAAAACAATTTTATTAATTTTATTTTATTAACATTTGTCATTTTTTAATTGTTAATTGTTAAAATTGGTTTGATGGGTTCAATGAATATATTCATTGAACCCATCAAACCAATTTTAACTATATATAGTATATTCATTATTGTGTATAGCATATAATATAATATATTATAGTGTTTGTGTTGTGTTGCTCAGCTCTGTTTTCCCATACAAAGCCCTACCTTCAAAGCTCTACCCCACGTTTTCAACACTACAACAAAAAAGTTAAGCAATTGAAATTGAAAAATTTAGTTATTTTTTACCTAGATTTTACCCTAAAATATAACCTAAATTAATATTACCCTAAAAAATGGTAATTACCCTATAGGGTAATTACCATTTTATAGAAACGGCAACACCGATAAAGACGGGCACTGACCTGCAACTAGGGTTGCCAACTATATTTAATAGGACAACCTTATATTTCACGCTTGCCTCCTATACTGAAGACATAAGTTCTATATGTCCTATATTTCAAAATCTTGTTCTATATGTCCTATATCTTAAAAACTAGATTTGTAGAATTGTACTTTTTTAACTTAAAAGCATAAAAATTATTTACAAATTTACATTGCATTTTTGAATATTGACAAATGTATCAATTATTGGTTAGTATCACAGAACACATGTGTTATGTGGTTAGTATAAATAAATGTTCTATATATTTATTTATGTTAGATTGTTTAAGATTTTAGAAATATGAATAAACGACCTAGTATGTAGTAGTGACGGCGATAAAGACTTAAAATTGGAGCATTTTTGGGCCCAAATTTATTGACCACGATATTTTAATGTTTTTTATTGTCAACTCTATTTTGCCCAATTTGTGGCTTGACTTTCATATAGGGTGTCAGGAAATGACGCACCTTCGCCAAACCACACTGGCGTTATTTTAAGTATAAAATCTTTTGTTCTGACCAGGGGCCCGTTTCACGAAAGTAACAAGTTAAATTTAACTAATCTGTAATAAATCAGAAGTACTAGTGTTTCACAAAGACAAAGTTACAAGACTTGTAACAACCAGTGAATTGTCACTACTTACAAGTAACGTTTTTATAGAATTACCTTTTACTAGTTCAATGGGAGATTTCGAATGCCATCAGACAGCATAATCTGTGGTCAGCATGAAATCTCTTCTTGCAGACATAGGGCACATATTTCAACATTCCACAAGAAGAAGTGAGGCCCTATCAGAAAGAGTTCAATTGTGTGCAGCTCTCCATTGGCTAGGCAATATCATGGAGTTGCTGATATGCATGGCATATCAAAAGTAAGAGCCGTTTCACATGCGACTGATAAAGTCCTGACGATCAGTCCTGATGGTCAGTCCTGATGACTAGGGGCCATTGTTTAAATGAACTTTTTCACATGCACTGCGTATCATCGGTTGACTGATTCGTCGGCACGGGCATCGGGACAGCCCGTGCGCACTGCGTACCGTCAGGACTATTAAGGGCTGTTAGTTATATGGAGTATTTCATATGGTACGTACGGTCAGCAGAAACAGTGTTGCACAATAAGTAGTTTACGCATTGATACAGAAATTGTAATAAGTAGCATCGAACAGCGAAGATGCATCTGGTATGCAGATGATGAGAACTACAAAAAAGGGATGCAAAGAACAAAGCATTTGAAGAAGTAGCGGAAATAGTAGTTCCGGATTTTGAAAATTTTGCGGAAGCAAAAAAGAACTTTTAAAATTTTGCGTTGTATTATTCTCTTTATACAAAAAGCGGCAACAGCGCAGTTCTGGAGGCGCTGAGAACCGTCTCGTAGTAGACATTTCCGTACTATACGTTGCTTGTGAAACAATGGCCATGACCGTCAGTCCGTATCATCCGGACTGATCGTCAGGACTTTATCAGTCGCATGTGAAACGGCTCTTACGGTTTTTATTTTTTAAATGCGTTTTAGATGGTCCTAGAGCATCAATTGAGGAAATATTCAAAAAACTTTTTTATTGCAAATAAATATTTATTTTTTAATTTTTTACTATTTTAAATAAGACTTAACAGGTATAATTAACTATATTTTAATAAAAAAAGGTATTTTTTAAATGCCTTTCTTAGAGCCGTTTCACATGCGACTGATAAAGTCCTGACGATCAGTCCTGATGACTAGAGGCCATTGTTTAAATTAACTTTTTCACATGCACTGCGTATCATCGGTTGACTGATTCGTCGGCACGGGCATCGGGACAGCCCGTGCGCACTGCGTACCGTCAGGACTATTAAGGGCTGTTAGTTATATGGAGTATTTCATATGGTACGTACGGTCAGCAGAAACAGTGTTGCACAATAAGTAGTTTACGCATTGATACAGAAATTGTAATAAGTAGCATCGAACAGCGAAGATGCATCTGGTATGCAGATGATGAGAACTACAAAAAAGGGATGCAAAGAACAAAGCATTTGAAGAAGTAGCGGAAATAGTAGTTCCGGATTTTGAAAATTTTGCGGAAGCAAAAAAGAACTTTTAAAATTTTGCGTTGTATTATTCTCTTTATACAAAAAGCGGCAACAGCGCAGTTCTGGAGGCGCTGAGAACCGTCTCGTAGTAGACATTTCCGTACTATACGTTGCTTGTGAAACAATGGCCATGACCGTCAGTCCGTATCATCCGGACTGATCGTCAGGACTTTATCAGTCGCATGTGAAACGGCTCTTACGGTTTTTATTTTTTAAATGCGTTTTAGATGGTCCTAGAGCATCAATTGAGGAAATATTCAAAAAACTTTTTTATTGCAAATAAATATTTATTTTTTAATTTTTTACTATTTTAAATAAGACTTAACAGGTATAATTAACTATATTTTAATAAAAAAAGGTATTTTTTAAATGCCTTTCTTAGAGCCGTTTCACATGCGACTGATAAAGTCCTGACGATCAGTCCTGATGACTAGAGGCCATTGTTTAAATTAACTTTTTCACATGCACTGCGTATCATCGGTTGACTGATTCGTCGGCACGGGCATCGGGACAGCCCGTGCGCACTGCGTACCGTCAGGACTATTAAGGGCTGTTAGTTATATGGAGTATTTCATATGGTACGTACGGTCAGCAGAAATAGTGTTGCACAATGAGTAGTTTACGCATTGATACTGAAATTGTAATAAGTAGCATCGAACAGCGAAGATGCATCTGGTATGCAAAGAATAAAGCATTTGAAGAAGTAGCGGAAATAGTAGTTCCGGATTTTGAAAATTTTGCGGATGCAAAAAAGAACTTTTTTGCGTTGTATTATTATACAAAAAGCGGCAACAGCGCAATTCCGGAGGGGCTGAGAACCGTCTCGTAGTAGACATTTCCGTACTATACGTTGCTTGTGAAACAATGGCCATGACCGTCAGTCCGTATCATCAGGACTGATCGACAGGACTTTATCAGTCGCATGTGAAACGGCTCTAAGTGTCTGTAGATCAGTTCACGCTGTTGTGAGGGCTGTAAATGATATCAAATTTTCAAAAATTGTTAACTGGCCAATGACATTCGGAATGTGGTTATTCGTTTTTCCCGATTTGCAATAATAGCTGGCCATACACAGACGTTATTTCGCGCGGTTTATCGTGTTATCTGCAAAAACATATGGAACATCATGTACGTGAGTGAGTATCGCCGCGCGCAATGATAGAACGGGAAGGGATTTTAGACATGCTTTCCTCTGGAGTGTGGAGTGTCCACACCATGGGGGGCCAGCTTTTTAAAGGAAATTGGCAACAAATTTTTGAGCGACATCTATCTTTTGCCATCTTGCTCATGCGCGTATCATTCTTGTCGGTGTGACTCATCGTAAAGTTTGACAGTTTGTTATGTGTGTTATGTAGTTTTCAACAATGGCCGATGTTGTTGTTTGAAATTGTGTGTTGTTTTGGTTTTTTTTAAGGTAAGTTTAATTATTGTGGTAGGTGATAAACTTTTATAAAACTCCAGTTTTGAATTTCTAAACTAAATAAACCATTCAGTTAGTTATAGAAACAAATTGTTGAATCGTAAATTACTTAATTAATGCTTTGTTTTTTGTTTTCATACCTATGCATGTATATTTATAAATGTAGTTTTGTCATATTTGCGTTAATCCGGCTTTGATTTGAGCAACTTGTCCTCTCATCAACAGTTTTATCAGTATTTTTTCTTTCATATCCATCTTATAATTTTGCAAATAGGTATGATTATTTGCTCAAATCGAACCATACATTTGTTCCATGTTAATGAGTTCATATTTTAATATTTATAAATATATGGCATATATGCCTGTTTTTATTTATTTATTAATATTATTTTACACTAGTGTTCACATAATAGAACAGGCTTTTGCTAAATTAGACCGCATTTGCTAATAGTAATGTTTAGTTAAGTAGGTATACACAAAGATAATAATAATATCTTTGGGTATACCTACAGTATATACTTAACTAAACATTACTATAGTATAGTTATTAAATGATGGTTAATTTTATTTGGAAATTGTTTAAGCGTTGAGTGAAGAAACACACCTTAATCAATGGTTTAAGGACTAACCAAGGAGAAACAGGATACAAGGATTGAGTAAACTCATCACTTAAAACATAAATAAGGTAAATTTTATTTTTAAAATTTAAAATTGTTTTTAAAATAAGATTTTTATAGGTTATATCCAATGAAATTATTCTGGAATGAAACTATCCATATTTTGGTCAATGTTTTGCCAGAGGGGTCCTGCTTAAAAACTATCCAGCTTACTTTCTAACTTTTGATCCACAATATAGAAAAATGTAGCAGATGCTAATCAAATTTAATAA